CAACTAGGCTGCTCCTTTTTATGAATGAAAGACATCAGATTTTCTAACCAGGATTAAAAGAGTTGTATTAAATTAGATGGAATTAATCCATTAAAAAGCAAAACACGTACACATACACACACTTGCTCTAATTGTCGAAGTCGCTTCACTGAGTGTGTATACACAATTTGTATTGCCCTTTGCTAGGAGAGATGGAAACAAAGATCATTTTAAAAACCTCACGAATCCCTCTGAAGTATGTAATTTTTAGATGCTCTCATCTGAAAGTGGTGGTAGTTCACATACAAAACGGTCAAGTCACTCAACGCTACTCTTGAAAGCCCTAATTCCCCGATTGATGGACATTTTAATGCGTTTGAATGAATATTACAAAATGATCATACCAGACCCTAAGATTTTTAGGTGAACACCTTAAAAGAAAGCTAGAGGCTGTCCTGGCATGTGAAAAGGGAACTGTGTGATGCTCAGAAATAAAAAAGACATCCACGATCATGCCCAGAGGGCCCACATGAGAATTCCCGAGTGGCCTGTGCGCTATCCCAAGAAGGCATCTACGATGAAGTCAAGGACATTGACTTTGGAGCTCAAGATCATGCTCAAACCTGGCGTTCTTGGACGCCCTTGAGTTGGCTTCAACTTTTAGCATCCCTGTGGCCAACAGAATGAAACATTGCTCAGTTTTGTTGGTCTCACAAGTTTTCCTAAATTTGAACTCATTTTTACCATCACGGTGACAATTAGCTCATCAAGGGTCTTCCTCTTCTTCACTCACGCTCTACTTTACGAGCATGATGTTCTTTTCCAGCGACTGGTCTCTCCTGATAACCTGATCTCTCACATGGCTAACCCTAACTGCTATATAAAAATTGATAATAATAGTAAGATTTTGATTAGGTTCTCGGGAACTCAGACTCTGAGATTAAGTATTCTGGGCCTGGGCTTATCGTATACAACTCTTCACTTGAAGCAAGGGGTCTTGCTTTTCCATGTGGCCCAGGAATGGACGTGTGCTTTCCTTGGGCACTGTGGATCTCCTTGGTCACCACGATCCTCAAAGGAGGACCGAGCTCCTCTCTCTCCCTGAGAAGCAAGACCAGTGCACTGGTCCTGAGGCAGGTGAGAGCCTTACAACACTATCCCCACAAATATGCATCTCTTGGATTTGTGGTGGATATTAAATGAGAAAATGCATATGAAGGCTCTTAGCTCAGAATGTATGCTCAGTACATATGTTTAGGCTGTTAGAACATGCTGAGCTTTTAAGGCAAATCACTCCGTAAACTAGGCCAATCTCATCAAAAGGACATCAAGGTAGAATGTAGCAAAGAAATCTTTTTTTCTTTTTTGCGCTCTTCTTTTGTTTGCTGCAGTTTGCTTCCATAAAGGCCCCCTGGAACAATAGAAGTAACCATTACTGCTATTTGAAACAAATGAGTAACCTATGTGCTGTTAATGTTTCCGTCCATATTCCAGACCCCAGCGAGAGCAATGGACTCAATCAGTGCCGCGAACACACAGTTCTGCTTTGATGTCTTTAAGGAAATGAGCCCTGACCACACGTCGGAGAATCTTGTCTATTCTCCCTTGGGTCTCCTGTCCACATTGGCTCTGGTGCTCTTTGGGGCCAGAGGTCAGAGTGCCTCTCAGATTGCAAAGGTAGGTCACAAAGACACCTGCCTAGAGAACAATTCCATAACAAGCCCAAGCACTTCCTTCTATCGAGGCTTCCTGGACACCCCACTCTGTAAACGCAAGTGAACGCCCATCGACATTTAAGGTCACCTATGGAATTGTCTAATTCAAAAGGGGTGAAGATGGTGAGTTATCCCAGTTCTGTCCAGAGAAGCAAGGGATGAGGGTCACAGCTGGGACATGAGCAGATAGAATCACTCATTGAGGCCAACCTGCCCTAGGGAACAACTGAGGGCTCCACCCTCCCTGCCCAGCTGCAACCTTAGGTTCCCCAAACCTTCTTGCTGAAAGTCACGATTCCTAAAATGCTTCCCAAAATTCAGAAGCTTCAAACATCCTCCCAAGTGAGACGACATCTATGTTCTGTTTGATCAAAATGCAACCCTTTTTGAGGCAAATTGAGAGTAATCTTTGAGGTATAAATAGAAAACTAGCAGCAGATTAGGAATGCAAATGCAGTTAGTGTTCAGGGTTGCACTAAGATGTGCTCTGGGCACAGTAAGTGCCCAAGGAGGTTTCCAAACTTTTTATACTGTTGACCAAATAGCTGTTGATTGAATAAATAAGTGGATAGCATAAAGAATATCAAGGTGTTTACAATCTAAAGAAAGAATTTATAATTTACATACATTTCTAAGGGGATAATCAGTGCTAACTCAATAAAGAATTTCAGGGGAAGTGGAGGCAGTATTCCTTGGCAGGTATCTTTCAACATGCCTGATTCACAGCTCACTGGTTTGATGGGAATGAGTAATGAGTGGAACCAGGTTTCTCCCAATTTAAGATTGGAACTGGAAATGAATTCGACAAGTTTGAGTTTAAATACAAGGAAGATTAATCAAGAAAATCTCTCCATGTCATTCTATTTGCATGCATGGTGAGTTATCCCAGTTCTGTCCAGAGGTGGACAGAATCACAGGAGGTGCTCAATGAATGCATGCTTGTGGCGATAGAGACACAGCTGAGAAGGAGAGAGCTATGGGCATCTATCAAAGTTGCCTACAATGAGGATGTACAGAGTCATTCCAAACTCCCCTCGCCCTCCCCCCCTCTCCTTCTGGGTGGGAGGCAACAAGGCTGGCGGCTGGCTCCCTCCATTCCTATGCTTGCTTCAGGTTACATGATCAGAGAGAGGCTGAGGCAGAGACTGGAAACCCCCCCTGGTCTCTTAGGACAGCACCACAGCCTGAGTTAGAGGAGGACCAAATAGCTCAATCCTACTTTCCTGACTACCTCAAGCACAGAATGAAGAAACCCCCGCCCCCATCGCTTCATCCTCATCATACTTCTCTCCTACAATCCTGAAAGACTGAGCTAACGAGTCAGAATTCCAGGATCAACAAGTGTGCCCCATTGATGATTATGGTAATGGTGGTGCTGCTGATGGAAGCAATACTAGCAGACACCATTGAATTATGGACCCCCATTATGTCCCTGAGGAGCCCTGGGGGTTACGCTGGGGTTAAACAATCTGCTGCTAACCAAAAGCTTGGTGGTTCAAGCCCACCAGCTGCTTAGCAGAAGAAAAATGAGGCTGTCTGCTTCAGTAAAGACTTACAGCTTTGGAAACCTTACAGGTCAGTTCTACTCTGTCCTATAGGGTCTTGATGAGTCAGCATGAGTCATTAACGACCAGTCCAGAGGCTGTTCAGACTGTTGGCAAGCCTCTGATAAAAACATTTTGACCAGTTTCATTATAAGAAATTTCTTCTATGATTTCAGCTAAAGTCTACCTTTCAGTAACCATTGTTCCTTTCTCATGTTCCCACTTTTAGCAGCCTACATTAATCCCCTTTCCATCTGTAGTTTTGGATAGTTATACTATTTGCCCTATATGATTTATACTATTTTAGAGTTATAAAAAATACACTACATTTTTACCCCATTTCTCTTCTTAGAGCAAAAAAACAAAGCAAACAACCACATTTAAGCCACTCACTCTTAAATATTTGAGGTGAGCTATAATGCCTGCTGTCAGCTGTAGTTGATGAGAGCCTTGGGAAATGATAATAAGACCACAAGTTAGACAGTAAGTTGTCTTTAATAGAAAACATAAAACTCTAGTAGGGAAAATAATCTCAATGTTTGAATCCACAAAGGGAACATCACTGCAGATAAAGTATATGAAAGCAGCTTGAAAATAACTACCCATGAACCCCAATCATAATGGTTCTGTGCTCAGTGACTAACTAATAAGATTAACTGCTGCCCAGGACACCGATTCAGTCATTTATCTGCACAATCATTCAGTCTTTATTCAAAATATTGATTGGGTCCCTACTATGTTTCACAACTGGGAATTTAGCAACACGGAACATTAAGTGACACTACAAAAGGGAGCGCGTGGCTTTATTAAGACACACTTGCATCTGTAGCTCATGTTATTTCAAAAGCATCAGAAAGGTAAGTGTGCATCCAGGTGAGGTGTGCCTGAGGCACTCCAGGGGGTCGTGGCTTCCGGTCAGAATGTCAGCTCCTGAGAGAGAGAGAGAGAGAGAGAGAGAGAGAGAGAGAGAGAGAGAGAGAGAGTTTATCTCTGGGAAGATTAAAAAGGAACCACCAAACGCACTGTAACAGAGTAGATCGGGTTCATAGTGGCCGTACAGGACAGGGTAGAACAGCCTTTGTGGGTGTCCAAGATTGTCACCGTAGATGGGAGTGGTCTTTCTCCTGTGGAGCGATTGGTAGTTTCACACTGCTCACTTTGCAGTTAGCAGCCCAGCTGTAGAGTGACCACTACACCACCGGAGCCTTGTAGACACGACAGGGTGCTCCTCTGTCCTTTAGTGTCCTTACGAGGAGGAACTGACCTGAAGGCGATGGGTTGGTGGGTTTGTTTTGAGGTAGCCCCTATATCTGAGTTCTCACCCTCTAGCCCTTAAACTCCTGCCCTCTTGCTTCCCAATCTCACCTATTCTCTTGGGAATAACGTTTTCTTTTGTTCTCGATGAACAGAAGAATGAAGAAACTTGCCAGGGAAAAGGCGGGTAGACAGTTCCTGAAAAGGCAGAATGCAATGAGAAAATGGTCGCTGTGCCCTCCCCTGGCCTCCTGCCGCGGTTTGCAAAACCTTTGAACGGAGTTCTGTGCTTCCTTCCCACTGCAGGTGCTCCACTTGGATGCGTTGGTGAGAACTTCAAATTCTTCGAGTGCAGAGGTAGGTATAGAATCTGCTTTGCATCAGACCTCTCTGAGAATCGGAGCCAGTCCAGGTGAAGGAAAAGGAGCAGGGCGCTCCTTCCCAATCGCCTTGAGTTTAGACCATAGACAGGCACCATCATTGGGTTAGTAGCAACTCCTACATGGACTGTGTGCAAAGAATTAATCACTTGGAGATTTGGGAACATGTAAAACTGTCCGAACGATTGTCCTAAAGGCGACTGGTCTTTAAGAAGAAAGATCCTGTCCTCCTTTTAGTAGTAAGTGCAGGAGGGAAGCGATTCTCAAAGAGAGGCTGTTGTGGCACCGCAAGCTACCCAGAGAGCTGAATCCTGGGGCAAGGAGCTTTCGGTGGTATCTGGAGCACGGGGAGCACCCAGTCCACAGGAGCTATTTCCTGTTTCCTGCTACATCAGGAAAATGTAGATGAAAATGGGAGTGCCAAGCCCAAACAGACACATGACAGGAAAATGCCACTGTATTGAGGTTGGTCTGCCTTTAAGACCTTTATTGTTCGGTATTCTGCCAAATTGTTAATCTTGAGGCGGGGATGGGGGCGGGTGGATAGGCAACGTAGACCTTCCTTTGTCTAAGGCAGGTTGTAGCTTCCTGGAGCATGTAATCTCCCCATAGGACCCTCTATGGTGGGGCGACAAAGAACAAATGTTATGTGACCTGAATTTATCACTAGGCAGTTTTATATGTTACAAAATAAGGCAAACATGGTTTTTCATGATGCCAATTGTGCTAACAAGACCATATCAGAATGTGTGCCCAGGCCAGCTGGTGATGGAGACAGAGCAAATTCTGACTCAGGCAGTGGCGGGCCCAGGTCTTGCTGCACACCTGAGCCTGATGGCGGTACCTGCTGAGCAGCTCCACTTGCAAAGGTCACCAGCCCCTGCAATAGCGAAAGGGAAGAGCTCTAACGTACACAAAGGGTGGCTTCTAATTTCATTTTCTCTGAAATAACATTGGTTAAGCACCAGACTGCTAACCAAAGGTGGGATGTTCGAATCCATCAGCTGCAACCTTGGGAGACCTATGTGGCAGTGTGCTTCTGCAAAGGTGTTCTCTTTCTCTCTGCCAGCAAGTTGATTCAGACTCATTGTGACCCCCCAGGGCAGAGTAGAACCTGCTCCGGTGGGTTTCTGCAGCAATCCATTTGTATGGGAGCAGAAAGTCTTGTCTTTCTGCAGAGATTACAGCCTAAGTTCTATGGAGCAGTTCTGCTCCGTGGGATAGGCCGCGATAATCAGAACCAACTCCGTGCCAGTGGGGTATGGCAGACTGAGGAGTCCTTGGATGGTACACACACTTATGCGCCTGCTGTTACAGAAAAGCTGGAGGTTCGGGACTCCCAAAGAGGTGCTTTGGGAGGAAGGGCTGGCCATGCACTTCTGCAAACCCAGCTGTTGAATTACTTTCATGTTGGTGCCAAGTTCTATCATCTAATGTTATGTGGGTTTTTTTAAACAGATAAAATGATAATTTTCTAATTTCAATACACAGGTGTAAACATGAAGTATTTCTTTAGGTTTACTTAGAACTTTCAGTAAATCATATTTGATATTGCAAACTATATGACGGTAGACTCAAACATGGGCACTCATAGCTTTTGTTTCTTGAAGAAAGACAAACATCAACAGAAAGCAAACGTTAAAAGCCAATGTCACCCAGCTCTCCCCTGACACGCATGCAGGCACCGAGAATTATCACTGGATCGAGGGCACTGGTCCCTGGTTTTGTTTAAGAGATTGAAGAGCCTCTAGTCTAGCCTCAATAGATGCCACTCTCTCCCATTCTCAATCTTTTTTTTTTTAATCTACACCCTAGTGTGGACAAGACACCGGAGTCCATGAACACATCCAAGCCCTCCTCTCTGAAATCCAAAAATCCAACAGCGGTGAAATTTACATGTCAAGCGGCATATTTGCAGATACAAATAATCCATTTCTCCAGGTGAGTTGGTGTCAAACAGGTTTCTACAGGTAGGAAAAGAGAGCACCGTAGGTGACTGCCGTTGTCCTCCAGTGCTGTTGAGTTGGCTCCAATCGCAGACCACCTGTGTCCAACAGATGGAAACACTGCCCCCTGGTGGCATCCTCACCATTGCGGTTAGGTTTGAGCCCAGAGCTGCAGCTGGTGTCAATTCAGCTCACGGAGGCTCTTTCTGTTTTTCTCTTTTTTGCTTCTCCTCCGCTACAGCAAGCACAATTTCCTTCTCCAGACACTCGTCTCGCCTGATAACATTCCAAATCAGGGGACAATTATTCTGGTTTTATGTATCTGAAAAACCAATTCTGACCCCACCGGGCAGCGTAGAACTTCCCCTATGGTTTTCTGACACTCTGCATCTTTACAGGAATTATTGTTAGGCGCCGGCTAGTCGGCTTCCAACTCAGAGCAACCCGAAGTTCAACAGAAGGGAACACAGCTGTCCTGTGTCATTCTCACAAGTTTTCGTATGTTTGGACCCCTTGTTGCACCCAGTGTGCCAATCCGTCGTGTCCAGAGCCTCTTCTTTTTCACTGCCCCTGCCCTCTACCCAGCATGAGGTCCTGCTCTGGGGTCTTGTCTCTCCTGATAACATGTCCGAAGAGAAAACACAGTCTCATATTTCCCTCCTGGAACGACTGTGGTTTCGAGCTGCTGACCTTGTGGGTAGCAGTCCAATGGATATTTGTATATAATATAAAACAATAAAATAATATAACGTCTATTGAAATTACATGTATTTCAGTGATTACATATAATTTTAATAACTGCTTGGATTTTTGTATATAATATAACATATGTTATATCTTTTTGCAATTTCATCTAGAAAATTATAAAAGGGCTTTGAGTCTAATGTTTAATGCTGTTTTATAAAAAGTTCAATTACGCTTCAGGAGCATACAATGTAATTTTATGTATTACGATTAAAAACACCAATACTGATAAGATTTTGACATCATCAGGCAAAAAGGAATTGATAGCTTGCAACTCTGCTTAGGCTGACTATTGATTATCTTACTCGTGTTTATGGGCATACAACACAATATCTGAGGCTAAAAAGAAAGAGAAATTCCCTTGTCACTAAAACTAGTTTCTTAGTAATTTGTGTCTTTTAATTAAGTATCTGCCTTAAACATGAAAAGGGAACCTACAGAAAAGTGAGTGAAGATATGACAAAATAATAATAATTTTAAATTATCAAGGGTTCATGAGGGGGGAGTAGGGAGGGAGGGAAAAAAGAAGAGGAGCTGATACCAAGGGCTCAAGTGGAAAGCAAATGTTTTGAGAATGATGATAGCAACAAATGTACAATGTGCTTGAGACAATGTATGTATGTATGGATTGTGATAAGAGTTGTATGAGCCCCCAATAAAATGATTAAAAAAAACTAATTTTAATGGAGAACTCAAAAATAGCCTTGAGACTCTCCTAATATTGCCTCACTGAAAAGAAAAAAAAGAAAAGGGCACCTCCATATATAGTTTTGTTAATTGGGCCTAGTTCTACATACATGTATCCAGTGGCCTGTTGAGTTAGATATTGAGTGGCTGATCATAAAATTTGTGGTCCAAATCCATCACCTGCTCTCTGAGAGAAAGAGAAGGCTGCCTGTCCCTGTACAGGTTTATAGTTCCCCAAACACCATAGAGGGTCACTATGAGTCAGAATGAGTTGATGACAGTGGTATTTGCTTTAGTTTTAGGTAGCACTATTTGATCTACTCTGCTTCCAGCTACCTATATACGTCTTACCTGAAGGTCTAAGAGTACTAAAATCATAATTTATTTGTTGTCTCATTTTCTCCTACTCTACTTTATAGAGCTATTTGGACTGCATTGAACAACTATACAAAATAAAACCTAGAACTCTGGATTTCATGACCAGCCTGGAAGATGCCAGAATGCAGATTAACTCATGGGTTGAAATCAAGACAAAAGGTGGGAGGCTGAAGACCAACGTCGTCCCTCTCTCTTCTCTTCCCTTGCACGAATGCATATAATTATATACAGTTATTAAAAATATATGTAATCACTGAAATACATGTAATTTCAATAGACGTTCTTAAATATACTATCCCTTTGTATTGGAACTCAGAAGCAAGTCTTCTGGCCACATACATTTAACATTTTTGGGGTCAAACATGCCTGTCTTCTCTCTTAGACTTTCTAAGTCCAGAATTGTTTAGGAAGGTCTTTCTCACTGTAAGATTATAATATGACAATACGCACACATAAGGGAACAGGCTAGACTTGTATAGTCCTCTCTTTGGCATTTGAGCTTTGCCTCCATCTCTAATCAAAATTGTTACTAGTGTAGGCGTGTTACTGAATGTAGAATGACAAAGACTGTTAACATCTACTAGTTATAGAAAGCCAGGAAAACTCCCCAATCATGTTACACATGACCATTAAATGAGTAAGTAGCCCATCCTCTTCTGCACCACCCATCCTTTGTCAATAATGAATTTTGAATGTTTATTCATTTTCTCAGAAATCTTTTTTGGGGGGTTTGGTGAGGATCGTCTGGTTTGCTTACCCCAACTTAAAATCAGGTTCAGAAAAGAAGCGCAAATTAAACTGAAATGAGTTCCTCTTCCACAGATGACTATGAATTTCTCTAGTATGGTCTTACTGTGTGATTCATTCAACCTCAGAGTCTACTCTCACTGTGTCTCCCCTCAAAGGTGAGATCGAAGGCCTCTTCCCGTATGAGGACATCGTGCCTTATGATCAGTTGGTGTTGGTCAACCCCATCTTCTTCCGAGGGAAATGGAAGAATGCATTTCAGAAAGAGGGGACCCAAACGATGGCTTTCTGGATGGATGAGGTAGTCTCGTGGTTTAATTTCTTTTTTTATTGAAGGAAACTTCAAAAGAGGTAACCATATAATAAGTTCTTTATAGTTCTTCGTAGACAGATTAATTTCCAAAGTACCAGTCTATCCACGTAATCATAAAAGGGCTGAATTAGAGTTGAAGACTTTTGGTTTGTGTTTGAACCTATCTTTTAAATTCTCCACTGCACTTTTACCATGCTTAAAAGTACCCATGCTATTTTTAGCACTGCAGCTGTACAATGAAAAAGGTATGCAAATTAGAGACTTTGAAAAGGTTCCAAGTAGATTCTGGGTGAGCGCTAAGCTAATTTAACTCTCAATGCCATTGAGTCAATGCTAACTCATAGCGCCCCATACGACAGGGTAGAACTGTCCCTGTAGGGTTCTTTATGGGAGTAGGAAGCCTCATCTTTGTCCTGTGGAGTGGCTGGTTTTTTCGAGCTACAAATCTTTCAGTTAGTAGCGTAATGTGTAACCATTATGCCACTAAGGCTCACAGGGTACTCCCTCCCCGAAGCATATTGTTGCAGCCAAAATAAGACATGCTGTTTAAGTAAGAAATAATCGATTTATATACGATAACTATGTCCCAAGTTATCAAGTGATTTACTCTAGTCTGCCAAAAAGTCCTTGAAATTATAGGTAAACTTAAAATCTCTTACAGCTAATGGTAAAAATAGCAAAAGATTTACATTTCTGAATTAATACCTTCAATGTAAAATCAATACTAAAGAATGTTAAGGAGAAACATAATTTTACAGTCAAACATATTTGTTAGGTCAAGAAATAGCTAATAACATTTTTCCAAAGACTACTGTAATTATATTTTGAGGTCATAAAATGTGGTGAAATTATACAGATATAAAACCAAACCCATCAAACCACTGCCTTTGAGTTGATTCTGGTTCATCGCGACCCTGTAGGACAGAATAGAGCTAACTTTCCTTAGAATTTCCGAGGTCGTAAATCTTCACAGAAGCAGGTTGCCTCATCCTCCTCTGGAAAAGCAGCTGATCAGTTCGAACTGCTAACTTTAGATTGGATTGGTAGTCCAAATATATATTCATGGTGGTGTGGTAGGCTGGGATCCACATGGTTGGAAATTCAAAACCACCAGTAGCTTTGTGGGAGAAAGACAGGCTTTCTACTCCCATAAACAGTTATAGTCATGGAAACCCACAGGGAGGTCACTACGAGTCAGCATCACCTTGATGGCAATGAGTTTGATTGTTTGGGATATATATATATTTGGAATAGAATATATATATATATATATTCCTAGATAGGTTCCATATAATGAGGTAAAACATATAATGGGTTTTTTGTGTGTGTATTAAAACATGTAGACTCCAGTGCCATCTTTCTGGATATTCTGACTTATCAGAAAGGCTTGAGCATATCTATTTTTAAAATAGGTCCTGATGCTCGTCCATCCAAGGAGCAGCTGGTTGGGGAACCCTCTGAAAGATGAAGGGAATATTTCAGGAGGATTAATAGAAAGATACCTGATGGAGTGTTCACTCCTCAAAGCAACTAGCCCCAACAAAGACAACCAAACTCCTTACCAGTGAGTCCATTCTGGCTAAGGATGACCCCAAAGGACAAGATCGAACCATCCCTGTGTCCCTGTGGGTTTCCAAGATTGTAACGCTTTATGGGAGTCAAGCCTCATTTTTCTCCCTCAGACTGGCTAGGGGTTTTGAACTGATGATCTTGAGTTAGCAGGCCAATAGGTTACCACTAAGCCAGCAGAGCTCCTTGATAAATGGCCAGTGAATAAAAGTAATAGATGAGAAGTCAGCATTTTATTTTGCAGTAGCTACTTTCTTTAAGGTCCCCTGGTGGCACAGTGGTTAAAGCACTATCCAAGTCACGAAAAGGCCAAGGTTCTAACTCGCCAACTCATCAGCGGCTCAAAGGGAAAGACATATGCATGGCTGTTTCTGGAAAGATTACAGTGTGTCCTATAGGATTTCCATGAGTCAGAATCTACTGGATGGTAATAAGGTTTTTTTGGTTAGGTGGCACAGTGGTTAAGCATTCAGTGACTAACTAAAAGGTCAGAAATTCAGCCCACCATTCCCTCTATGGGAGAAAGATCTGATCGTCTGTTTCTGGAAATATTTACAGCTCTGAAAGCTCTGTGGGACAGTATTAGTCTATGCAGTGGTTCTCAACCTTCCTAATGTCCCGACCTTTTAATACAGTTCCTCATGTTGAGGTGAATTCCAAACCATAAAATTATTTTCATTGCTACTTCATAACTGTCATTTTGCTGCTGTTATGAATCAGGCAACCCCGATGAAAGGGACGTTCAACCCCCAAAGGGGTCATGACCCACAGGTTGAGAACCGCTGCTCTGTAGGGTTGATAGGAGCTAGTATTAACTAGTGACAATGTAGGAGTTAATTTAGTTACTCCTTTTAGGTTTTCACCCTCTTTAAGTCATCAAAGTCATGGCTAATAATAGACTATCAGTGGGAAGCTAAAAACATTTTTTTGTCACCTGTGAACAACTTTGGAGGGGGATATATGTGTAGATTTTCTTTGTCTTAATTGAAAGAAAGATGAATAAGGAAAAAAAAACCCAACTACGGACCTTGTCACTCACTGTGTGTTTCTTTGCAGTTCCGGAGCAAACCTGTGCAGATGATGCGGGTGCAGGGCCTCTTCAAGCTGGGTATCATAAATGATCCTCAGGTGCAAGTGCTTCAGGTGTCCGACGTGGACGGTTACTGGAGTATGGTCATCATCCTGCCAAGAGAGAATGTGGGCCTAGGGCAGGTAAAGTGCTGAGCTTTTGCAGCCACCACCCCTGCAGGAAACTTGAGAATGCTTCCACAGTTGGGAGTCCTTGCGTGGTGCACACATGAATACGCTTGTGAGTGGATGGCATGGAGGCTGCATCTGACCTCCTTTGTCTACACGAAGGGTCAGAGAATTCAACTTGACACCAGCCCAAGGCTGATTGCTTTAAGGCTGAGGTCAGACCTGCCTCCAACCTCCACCCTTCTTTTATTCTATTTTGACGCCAATGATTCATCCCATGGCACTCTTTTCTGCCGGGCTGCATAATCCATCGCAATGGCCACACTGAACTTGCAGACAACTCTTGTTTATTGGCTTTAAGGAAGTCAACAATTTACCACAAGCTAGGATCAGAAAGCAGTAAGAATACAGTTCATAGCAATGTTACTTCTCAACGAGCATCCAAGTCTTCTCTGGTCCTCAGCTCTCAGTCACATGCTCCCTTGGCCTCTACTTCTGAAGGCCTGGAAGCCTACGTGCCACTCTGCCCCACAGTCTCAATATAGTTCTTGTGCTCCGTCCCATGGTTTCCATGACATGCATTTCCTCCTTCAGTCCCACAGGAGTCTTTTTTGTTGTTGTTTGACATGCATTTTAAGATAGATGGCACTTTGGTGTCTCTTCAGGATTTTCCATCATCAACTCAACCTGTGGTGACTCTGCTGCCTTCCCAACTTCAGGCACGGGATTCACATGGGCTCTGTTAGCGGCTCCTCTTTGTTGTCAGTCATGAGACCCCTTTTGTTTTTGCTTCTGAGATGGTTCTCTTATACTCAGAGGAATGTTAAAACTGACGAAATCTCCAAGTTTGAGTCCTCTAAATATTATTTGCGTGGCCTCATGCAAACATTTGGCGGAAGCTATCGAGATATTGATAGAAGAGCTATAATTTCACTTCTCCACAGCTTGGCTGCTAACTGAAAGGTGTGAGGTTTAAGTCTACCCAGAGGCATCTGAGAAGAAAGTCCTGACCATCAACTTTTGAAAACAAATGGGGGCTCCATGAGCCAGAACCACCTCCAAAGCAATGTTTACTTTAAAAAAAATAAACATCAAGAAGTGTTATGTTCATTAAAATAACAACAACAACAACAACCCTAAAGCAAGAACAAATCAGATCTTCTGAGATTCTTGAGGGGCATTGCATGCAATTATAAATACAATTCTTGAGGTGCATTGCCTGTAATTATTAACACTTTATGTATTTAAACATAGCCACTGACATTTCCTTTTACAGCCCTCATGGGAGTTTTGTTTATTATTGTTTCACATGCATTTTAAAATGGACTACAACTTGATATCTCTTTCAGATGTCCTACCAATCAGCTCGATCTATTTCTGCCAAAGGTGTGCGAGGGTTGGTGTCACCCATGTGGTAACTCATGGTGTCACCCTCATTCCCAAGGGCCTCATCTGTACCCGGCCATATGCAACCCTGAGAAATGTTTTTTATATGAATGTAATTCCCACACATCAATGAATGCAATGGCAATGGTGATGATATGAACAACACACAGAATGAAAACTGCACTTTTAAATTTCAACAGAGTGTGCAGATGAAACCATGTGATTAAAAAAAATACTGTTTTAAAGCATTTTATTGGGGGCTCTTACAGCTCTTACCCCAATCCATACAAGTGTCCATTGCGTCAAGCACATTTGTACATATGTTGCCATCATCATTTTCAAAACATTTTCTTTCTACTTGAGCCCTTGGTATCAGC